TGTGATACGTATCTATCCTGATGTCCCTTGGAGCGCGCGACAATCAAAAAGAAACACCGAAGAGGGGCACAGCAAGCAAGACCGCCTAAACACAGTCTTCATACATGGCGTGCCAGAACATCCTTCTAACGATGTTCAAGAGACCGGAAAGCACGATTTAGAACAGTGGCGGTTCATTCGTGAAACACTTTCTTTGGATGATGTTGTGGCACTATCGCTCACCAGGATACCTCTCTGATCGAATTATAGAGGATGCGGCCCTAGAATCCTAAAACTTGTGGTTCAGTCAGAGTAACAATCAAAGGATGTTTTGGATCGATTGCGGAGAAATCGGAAACATCTTCCTTCCGAAATTCGGTTAAAGGTCGCAAACACTTTGCACAGCTCAACTATTAAAGCAACTGAAGCAGCAAGCATACTGACGGATGTACAGAAGTGTAACTTGACTGCTGCTTTAATTGACTCTGACGTAGGTCTAAACGAAGGCTGGGACGCACCTTGGCCGAATCAAGTTGCAAACGAGGTATCATTGACCCATCGAAAAAACGAATAACTGCCGACCTCCCATCGGTCGGCACTCTCCCACACTTGACAGCTTCACCTCTCTGTGGGATCCTAGAGACCGAGAAACTGGCCTGCTTGTATACAAATGCTCAGGGACTTTCTAACAAACTGGCTGAAGTGAAAGATCGACAAGCTTCCGGCTCGTATGATGTCATTGGTATCACCGAGACATGGTTGCACACGGGAATGACGGACGCTGAAGTGTCGCTACCCGGCATGTCGCTGATCCGGAACGACAGGCTCACAAAAGGAGGAGGGGTAATCCTGTACTACCGAAACGACTTACAGTGCGAAGCCGTGGAGGATTCAGACTCGCAGTTCCCCGACTCTCTTTGGTGCCGGTTGCAGTTAAAAGGCAGGGACGCTTGCCTTATTGTCTTGGTGTACCGCGCCCCTAACTCAACACCCGAAAGCGACTACCACCTAATGGCTGCTTTAAGGTGCAGTTTACGACCAAAGTACACTCACATTCTTATCATGGGTGATTTCAACGTACGTTGTTTAGAAGCCTCTGGCACGATCGGAGAACAATTCAAAACCGATTTACTACTACTGTTCCTCTTTACAACCACATCACTTTGCCCACTCGGTTCAGAACTGGTAACAGGCCATCTGTGCTGGATCTTGCGCTTACCAACGAGGAGCATATGATTGATGCGTTGGTTTTAGACTGCCCGTTGGGTCGCAGTGATCACGCAGTCATCAGTTTCAACTTCGTCTGCTATGCAGAATATCTGAATGATAACGATGATACTGTGCGAACCATCACAAGGTACGACCGACTCGCCCAGCTAGTCAGCGCCACAACATGGTCTTTCCTCGAAGAAGAACCCCCCGGAAGTCGCCTGGCTCGAGTTCGTCAACCCATTCAGTCAGCTGATTGCACAGGCTTCAGAGATAAAAGCTTGCAATAAGTGCAAATCCGTTTCTTTCGTTAGGAGCAGAACCCGAAAATGGATGACAGTACGCAACGCAGCATGGCGAGTGTACAGAGAAGCTCCAGCACCAGAAACGTGGGACAACTACGTAGCCCAACGTAACCACTGCACTCAACTGTTAAGAGAAGACAAAGCCGCCTATCAGCAGAACATCGCAAAAACCTTCAGTGCTAACCACAAACTACTGTACAAGCATGTTAATAGCCTACGAAAGGTGAGGCAAGGATTTCCTCCACTCAAGACGGCTGATGGCCCAACAAGAACGGCTGTGGAAGCCGCAAACGCGCTGCAGATGCAATACGCCCCCACGTTTCAAAGAGTCTTGCCACCAAGCGATTTACCAAGCATTGTATTCTGCTCATCAGGACTAACCCACATCACTTTTACCGCAGAGGCTGTATTGCAAAAGCTGACTTCTCTACGCAAACACAGCTCGCCGGGTGTTGACATCATTCGTCCAGAGGCATTGGGAGCAGCAGCAAACCAACTGGCAGGACCTTTAGCTCAGTTTTTCCAGCACTGCTTAGACCAGAACCAAGTTCCCGCCATATGGAAGCTTGGAATAATAAGCCCGATTCACATAGGTGGAAGCAGAACTGATCCCTCCAACTACCGCCCAGTAACCCTTCTTCCTATACTCTCCAAGGTCATGGAATCCATAGTTGCCGATGCACTGGTGTGCTATCTGGAAAACTGCAACCTCATCACTCCTGAACAGCACGGTTTCCGTCGACAGCGGTCATGTACAACTAATTTACTAATTGCACGCAGTAGTTGGACCGAGGCATCCGACGCTGGAGAAGGTGTTGATGTGATCTACCTGGATTTTTCCAAGGCTTTCGATCGTCTAGACCATCGAATACTACTATCCAAGCTGCAGCATTACGGGATCGGCGACCCTCTTTTAAGCTGGATCGCCAACTTTCTATTTCAACGGCAATTAGTGGTCAGAGTTCGGACCTCTTTATCGGACCCCATACAAGTCGAGTGTGGTGTGCCGCAAGGCTCGGTTCTAGGTCCACGTTTGTTCTTGGTGTTTATTAATGACCTTGCACAGGGAATCGCTTCAAACTTCCTAATGTTTGCCGACGATATCAAGATCTGGCGCAGGATCCAGGCGAACGCCGACGAACATGTGCTTCAAAGTGACTTAGATACAGTGTATCAATGGTCTACCCAAAACCTCATTTCATTTCAACGTCAGTAAATGCAAGGTGCTTTCCATCCGACATCAGGGCAGCTACTCATACCGACTCGGAACGGATGTACTGCAACAATCAACTCTCGAACGTGACTTGGGTGTCCTGGTTCAAGATGCCTTGGGTTGCTCCAGGCAATCCGAAAAGACCTCAAAGACCGGGAACCAACACGTCGGGCTGTTGAGGCGGGCGTTTGGACAAATAAGCAGCTCCATATTTCGACAAATGCTCAGTGCGTATGTTCGCCCCCATGTCGAATATGCAATTCAAGCCTGGCATCCATGGCTGAAACACGACCTTAATGCACTGGAGCAGCCACAACGCCGGGCATCTAAGAACGTAATTGGGATGCGCAATCTTTCCTACCAGGAGAGGCTGCGACGACTAGGATTGTTCAGTGGAAGCTATCGCAGACTACGAGTTGACCTGATTATGGCATACTTGATTCTGCGAGACCCACATCATGTGTGCCGCCCTTTACTGCAACTCAGCAGCAATACAAACCTGAAGGGCCACTCACTAAAACTCGCAGAACAATACAGTCGTCTGGAGTGCCGCAGAAATTTCTTTTCCATCCGTGTCTGTCACCCGTGGAATGCTCTCCCAGAATCGGTCGTCTCTGCACCGACACTAACAATATTTAAAAGACGGTTGGACGATGCACTCATCCACTTACACTTTGTTACTTAACACTATGTCTCCATCCTACACCTGGAGTTTACCATGGAATTATTTGTTGTTAACTATGGATGCTGTGAATCTAAGAGGATCGCAGGACTGCAGCGAAGCAAACGATAAGTCCTTATCTTCGTATTTAAAGTATTAACTATTTTACTATCCTTATCATCATTATTGTTATGTTGATATCCCCTGCAACTATCCAACGGGACTTGTAAAGCAACGCTTCTTAACCCGTATAAATTCATTGTTCATTGTAACGGCGCTTCGCTGCCGTGCGACCACCACCAGTCGCACTCTGGCTGAATATACCGCGAGGACGCCCACCCCTACGCGCCACAAGATTACGAGACAAGCTTGTTATCTCTAGGCTCCGGGCTACGTCAAACATCCTCATTACTAATATGGGATTGCCACCGTACACCAGTAATGCAGAGAAGGCAGTGATGATCAAACACAAGTAGCCTCTGAATGTCCTGTGCGTGATAAGGCGAAATCTCGCAACCGTAGAGCAGGACCGCTCTCACAGTGATATTGTAGACTCGGCCCTGAAAGGATAAACTCAAGTAGCGGCGACGTCAGAGATGGCGGAGATTGGCAAACTCAACCCGAGCATTAGAGACGAGCAAGGAGACCTCACCCGTTAAACCGTTACCGCTGACGCAGCTTCCGAGGTTAAAAAAACTTGTCTACCACTTCCAGTGATTGACCTGAACGGGTAAGGGTGAGAGCAGATCCTAGCCAGTCCTGTACGAGGACTTTACGCTTCAAAGGAGCGAATAGCATTCCAAGTTGGGAGACAGACGCCGCCAACCTACACAGCACATTTTGGGCGGCCTGTGAGGACTCGCAAATTACAGAGATGTCATCTTCATATTCCAAATCGCGAAGTTGGTCCTCCGGAATCAGTTCAACGAAATGATTGCTATTACCTCTAGGAGGCTCAACATTAATGTCTAACAAGCAACCATACTTGGTGATCACATCTAGGGAAGAGTGGACCTTCTCAACAGGATTTCTAGTTGGAACGTTGACGTGCTGCACAATGGCGTTTTCAGTACCCAGTGTGCTAAATCACCCACCAAAGAGTCCGCTCTGTTGTGAGCATGCTCCCAGTTGGCATGTGGTAGGTTCAGGTCGCCTACGATCACAAAACTTGACGCAGAACGCGCAGCTCATTTTAATATATCACTAAGCTCCTTGTCCTCTCCTCGCCTTGAGGACGGTTGCGATAAACCCACACAATTAATTCAACCTCCCCCTGCACCCTCAGAAAGTAAAAGGTAACCTAAATACTTCGTGCACAGGATAAACGGAGCTTCCTAGTGACTGTAGTGACACCTTTTAAGCAAGAGCCTTTCATTCTCCAACCATACTACGACTCTTGGCCAGTATCCCCTGGTTCGGTGCATTTGAGTATTCAAATCACATACAGCAAACTTGTTCGTTAATTTTCTTCAGCATTTTTGTATAATTTTCTTCCAGTGGTTAAGGAATCTGCTTACAACATAGTTGAGGCTGCATGACGTGTTCTTGGTAAATGACGTTTGGTCTATAAAGCTTAAACACCAGTATATCACTGCCTCCCCGCTTAAATTCGGAAGACACAGTCCAGAGGTTTAAACCAGAGAATGATAGATTCTCTTCGGAACATTCGGATGATCAGTATCACAGCCAAAATTCGATGAACTATACAACATACGGCACACAGTTAGCCGTTGGGCAATTGACATAATTCTCCGCAACGAATGCTGTTCAACCAACGTGTTCACTCGAAGATGATCCAAACGTAACGAACTTCTTCCACAGAAAGTCGAACGACGACAGAAACGGAACTAGCCGGCGTACAGGAACTAGCGTTTCACCGACAAAGGATTTCTGTATTGTGATCTAAAATCTTAGTTAGACCGATGCTAGAGCGGTCGTCGTACTGTGGATACTCACCGTGGTATCTGATAAGGTGTCGGAGATTTTCGCGTCCTCCAATTTTTCAAGTGTTTTCACACATTTGGGTGACTGTAACGTTTAAGTGACCAGTGGCGCTTTCACTTACTATGTCTTCAGCGACTTCTTTGCTCTCGATCTCTTGCTCTGGTATCGGCAGTACTTCTTCCGCCGTATCACCGCTTGCTTCAACTTTAGGCTACAATCAATGTTTCCCGTTCAGTCTAATGTAAAACCACTACCGTTGTGGGTGCCTCGGACAGCTTTTTGTCATTTCTCACCGAGCTCATTAACTTCTAAATCCCTCAATAAATGAATACACCAGGATACAGTCACTTACATTCTCTACTTCTCTTCCCTCATTTTGCTCTTTCTCTACTTGCACTTTCTCTTTCTTCTGTTCTGCATCTGTGTTTTTCGCTTCCGGCTCTTTCGAAACGACGGGCGTCTCCTGCTCGACGGGGCTGCCTCCTGATTTGGCTGTGGCGACGATGATCGGTTTGTTTAACTCTCTTGTTCTTGGTAATCCAAACGGACCACCTGCTGATGCTCCTCGTCCGCGGCCCATGCTGGCCCCAAATCTACCTCGAAATCCTTTACCACCTCTGTATACGGAAGGAAATCCACAGGTGAAAGATAACACGGGCACATCTCGTCGGTTGGCAGCGTAGGCAATTAGGGGATACCGTGGACCACCGTTTATTGGCGCCGCTGCCACAGGACCTGGACGAACTGTGTTGGGACGATTGTTCACTGCCTCATAACCAGATGCAAATCTCCTCCTCAGCAAGTTTGCTCCCCTACGGTAGCCGAAAAAGACAGGTGGCCCGAAGTAGGCTCCACGGTATGCAAGACTCTAAGTAATGGGTGGATTAGGATGACGACTAAGAGCACTTACCGGACGCATGTTCGGTGGCCTTCGGGCCAAAAATACATTTTGATGGAATGGCAAAATCGGCATCAACGCCGGTTGCTGTGAAAAAAATTGGTTGCGTGCGATTCTGGGGACGCTTGTGCTATACCCGTCACCCTCAAATCCTAAATCATTGTATCGTGGATCCCCTCTTGAATCCCGGGACGATGAGCGTGTGAAAATATGCGATTGACATCTCGGTAGCGCCAGACCAACTGGTTTGCCACAAATCAACTGACAAGATTTCGGTCTACTGAATGACCGAGATCGATAACCTCGTTTGTCTGCTGCATATTTGCTACCTTGGACAAAGCTCCCGTTCGGTCCAGTCACATTCATGGCTTCCAAACCTTTTTCACCTTGAACGACATCAAACTCCACTTGCTCGCCGTCACCAACGGAACGCTGCCACTTATTGGGATTGTTTTTGAGAATCGCGCTCTGTCAAAATTAGTGGCAAACAAAACCTTGGTAACTCACCTGGTGGACAAAAATATCCTCCTTTGTATCACTCCGATTGATAAATCCGTATCCACTCTTGACGTTGAACCACTTTACTACTCCTGTTATGTTTGAAGCTGGTCAGTTTGACCATCATCTGTAATGAATGGTTATGCCTACCCATTATTTTCTTGTCAGTTTTCAATTTTTCAATTCGGGCCATTTTATCCACTTATACCAGAGCCAGTGGTGTGGCAGTTGGCGACGTAGCGTAGCCTGGTGTTCGGCGTTTTCCAAGTCTAGGTGGCTGGAAAATACTCTGACAGGTAGCCACTTAAATTTCGGTCGATATCGTGTTGTACCCACGATCGATACCACACTGGCCTTACATCGTGCAGAAGCCACAAGATCAGCTGTTTCGAAGAGCTGTGGCAAATATCTTCGATGCGCTACGTCTTATATCGGTTCAAGGTTGGAACGCAAATAAATCAATCAGAGAAAAGCATGTTTCCTTCCTCATCTGGCTTTCACAGCGAACCTATTCACAACCTTTCCAGATGCTTGAAAAAGAACCGCTTAATCTCATCTTAAGATGCATTGGTAAAGGGGTTTTACATGCTAATGCAACGTAATCACTCAGCAACACTCCTAGTCATGTTAATTATGTTCCCATCGATGTATCAGACCTAGGCTTAAAGAGTGTTCTTTTTCGTGTACTAATAAACAAGACAAGGTAGTCCGAACTTCGACATAAACTTCGTGGAGGCGTATAGGATATCACATCTCCACTATGAGCTGTTAGTTACAATGCCCACTAACCTCAGGTAGTTTCCATAAGCAGATCCATAAGCAGATTCTAGTCCCTTCGAATGCTGATATCATATCACTTTTCACCAAGTGTGGGAGTGACTGTTCTAGCTATGATCTGTGTGATTGTTGAAACATTTCCCTCGATTATGTAATCACAGTTTCTACTAATTGAGCCTTATTAAATCTCTATTCCCAAAAGGCATCGGCAGTACGCTATCAAGCGACAACCACCAGTCGCGTACGGGCTGGGGATGGTGCTAAGTCTCCCGTACCTACGTAGACTGGAACCGGTGACCAGTGGATTGCAGGCAAGATGCCGTATACACACGGTTATTGGGTAAAATACGATGTTCTGGAAGGTTCTCCGACGGACAGATTAAAAAGGTGAACAGGAATAGTATTGCTAGGACTTTATATCGTCACGAATCATTCCACCAGGCCTTCCCTCACACTACTTAGTTTCAACACAGGCAGTCCTGAACTGGTTAATCGGTCACAATAATAGTAGCATTAATAATAATAATAATAATAATAACCTATTCCCGATTTCCATGACATATTCTAGCAAAATTACCAAGAAATTATAAGCATTTACGAACTGGTCGCTCACAATTCGATCGAAACACATGGCGAACAGTGATATGGCGATTTTGAAAGGATCATTTTCTTCTCGGATTAGGGTTTTGTAAGAAGCAGTAAACCAAATCTACCTGCAGTTCATAGGGTTGCTGTAGTTATAGATAACTCTTCGTCAATTACAAAACGAATGAAGCTTTCAGAATGGGCCGAGGGTTAATTCCTTAATCCCAGGTAATCGATTACAATTGTAAGCTTCACCATCGTTTACTTATCTTGAAAGGAGACTTGTCATTTTATTAGCCTTCAGTGGGGACATGAAAAGGAAAGGAGCATCTGCGTAACAATGTAAAAAGTTAACAAAGGGTACTTTAATGGGCATCAAAGTAAAACGCAGAGCTGCTTCTCGCTATGGGCTGATAAGTTGAACCCACTGAGAATCGAGTGCAGGAATACGTAAACATTGTGTAAAATTGATACAAAGTGGACCCACCGAATACAACTAGGGGACTGACTTAATGGATTTCAAGAGTTAAGATCAGCCAAACGTTCGTTTGGTTTTAGGTAGAAAATAAGAGTTCTATGGAAGACGGTATAACCCCTTGGTACGTAATGTGTACCAATGTACACACTTATACAAATGATTTAATACCATTAATATTAGGCGTTGAAAGTTGCTGCTATGAGTTTGCGGCGCCGTTAGCAATTTTCTTTCAACGATGTCTGAACGTGATGCACGTCCTCACGATGTGGAAGCATGGAATCATCACGCCAATCTACAAAAGTGGTAGCCGTGCTGAAACAGCAAATTATCGCCCGATAACACTACTTCCTATGATCTCCAAGGTCATGGAGTCTATTGTAGCTGAGGCTTTAATGGGGTACCTGGGGAACAACAAAATGCTCATTCCGGAGCAGCACTGATTTCACAAAAGTCGCTCCTGTACCATTAATCAGTTGATTGCTCGTGCAAGCTGGATGGAATCTGTGGACGTTGGTGCAAGAGTCGACGCGGCCTACTTGAAGTTCTCAGATGGATTCGACCGTCTAGACAATCGCATTCTCCTCAACAAACAAACAGAAATATGGAATCGGTGATCCTGTTCTGGGCTGGATAGCAGACTTTCTCGTTCAACGTCACCAGAATGTGAGAGTTAGAAGCAACCTGTCGGAATCCATCGAAGTTCACTCCGGCGTACATCAAGGCTCGGTACTTGGACCCCGCCTGTTTCTGATTTTCATAAATGATCGCGCGAGCGTGCTATCTTCTAACTGTTTGCTATTTGCTGATGATCTAAAGGTATGGCGTACTATAACTGCAGTGGAGGATCATACAGTGTTACAGGAGGACCTGGGCAAAGCGTGCACATGCTGCACTCCAACGTCACCAAGTGCAAAGATCTCAGCATACGACACATGAGTATGCACAAGTACTGCCTAAGACCACAAATTCTACAGCCGACTTCTCACGAGTGCCATCTCGGCGTTATAGTTCCAGATGACCTCGGTTGTTTGAGGCAGACTGAAAAAGCATCTAAGAAAGCGAACCAGTACCTAGACCTTCTTCGCAGAACTTTCGGAAAGTTTGACCCTTCAGTCTTTCCAAAAATGCCTAGTGCATACGTGAGGCCGCACGCGAAATACGCTAGTCAAGCGCGGCAACCCTGGATCAAGCACCATCTCACCGCGCTCGATACTGCACAACGTAGGGCAACGAAGAGCGTCAGAGGTTTGACCAGTCTCCCCTACCCACTCAGGCTAAAGACCCTCAAAATATACCATGGACATTATCGGTGTCTAAGGGGCGAACTCATGATGGTGTATCTGATCCTGAGAAACCCCAACCACGCATGCCATTCCCTTCTAATACTCAGTCGCTAAGAGGTCATCAAATTAAGCTGGTCACACAGTACAGCCGCCTGGATTGTCGGAGAAACTTTTTCTCCCTTCGAGTGTCACAGACTTGGAACACCCTCCCGGAACATGTAATTAATGCACCCACCCTATCCCTTTTCAAAAAGCGCCTTGACGAAACTGTCACATTTACACTACGTGCTGTAATCCTTGACCACCAGATGCTGGCACTAATGCACAACAGACAGTGAATAGTGCTATAACCCTGCTCGAGAATGAGTTACTCCAAACCCTTGCACGAAATTTGATAAACGCTACTACTGTAGAATGGATTTCTGTATCCCGTTGACCCAAGATAGCTGCACACGAGTAGGCGTTGTCCTTGCTAGCTTTTATTATTTTTCCGCGCCTGTTACGTGATCAATAGGCACTCCCCTAATGGCTTTGTTTATGTACATTCTAAATTCAAACCCTTTATACGGCAGTGCAGTTAAATCTGTAATCGCCCGAACCGACGATTCCGTCATCCCTTGATCTACCTTTTCTCACTTAATACATTACGGGACATGTCAAGCACCTACTATTTTACCCGCCATAAATCATTGTTTATTGTTCATAGACCAGTGAAAAGTAGATTCAAGTGTATAAACAGGTACAAATGTCTATTTGCAGATCAGTTCGGTTGATTTGTACACCTACGCAATACTCGTAACTTCAAAGTAACGTCTCAGAGAAAAATATACCACTTGATGGGTTTGCTTCATCGTCTGCCTTGCCAACACTAGCTATTTTTATGTGAAGATGCTCAGTACGCATGATTAGTCAACTATATTATTAATCTTTTGGTGCTTTTATTACTCCAAACAAGAGTATAGTATTCCGTGAATAATTTTTATAACGTTGTATACAGCCGTACACAGTATGACCGATTGGAGTAAACGTTTGGATATCTGAGTATTGTAGCGATGAGTTTCATATGGAAGTTTAACATGATTTTGAATGGGTTTTTTACTGAGTAATGCTTCCTTATGTTATAGTACTCATTGCTTAACATTTCTGTCACGTTATCCTCTGGTGCAGGAGTTAAAATTACAAGAATTCATAAAGCACCATCTCTTTTAATTACATTTCAGCTGACACAGGAATACATTTGAAACTGGATGATTTGCTGCAACGTTTGAATGAATCCGATATAGAAGTATCTTTTTCTAATGATTCTGAGGATGAGATCTTTTATCCTGTCGGACATGATCTGCTATGTGGTGCGAATAATGATAGAAATATAATCGATGAGAGTGAAGAAGAAAATCTTGAACACTCCAGCAATTATGCTAACCGAAAGGAAGGCACAGTGAGCTTGAAGTCAAAGAAAGCTGGCACGAAATAGTGATCTTCTAGAGATGGATTTGACCCAGGAAACATAAGTTGGTTGGAAGATTTCAGTTTACTTGATGGCTTCACTTCACCATCAGAATACTACCTACAATGCTTCAGATCCGAAATTTTCGACGTTTACAGCAAAGACACATATTTATCGAATGATTAAAACCGGGAAGAGTTCCGGTACAACGGTTGCGGAAATGCGAAGTTTTCGGTATCTCAGTTGTGATAGGCAATGTTGTCTTTCCAAGGATCCGTACGAATTGGCAAACGGCCACAAGAGTGAATGCAATTTCAGATATCATTAAGGTGAACGGGTACTTGCAAGTGCGAAATACCATCCACATTAGCGCTGAGCAAAATGCACTGCAAAGAAAGGATAAACTCTGGAAGTTGGAACCTCTTCTCACAGGAGTGCACGCTCGTTGCCTGCAGCCACCTCGAGAAGAGTTCAATGCAGTTGATGAGCAAATGATACCATTTAGCAAAAGGTTGCCAGCAAAACAATACATTAAAAGTAAAGCAAGCTCAGTAGGGGCAAAGAATTTTGTCAATGTGGCAAGTCAGGAAGGGCCATCGACTTCGAACTTTATCAAGGCGCAGAACAGGTGTCAATGCAGATACGAAACATTTGTGTCTTGGTGCATCAATGCTTCTGAGAGTGTATTTGTAATGTTATCGTCCCAGCTGTTCGCTAGCTAACATAGCACAGACTAGTCCGGAAAAGCACCAAACGCGTTGCGCCCTATTGGGGCTCGCCACTGGTGCGCATTCCCACCGTCCCCTACTGGGGATCGAACCCATGACCGCT